TTTCAATTTCCGGATCTCACAATTTTTAAAGTACTCCGGCAGGACAAAGGGTTTAACAACAACCATTTCCCCAAAAAGGGATCGAACATTGGCATCACTGCCAGGAAAAGTCCTAACTCGGCGGTCAATGCCGAACATCAGAATGGTTAGCTCGTTTGACTCTACCGACTAACTGAGTCGGCTGTCACGACAGCTTTTACTCCAGCAGCTCATCGTGCCGGTAGTCCTAAATGAGTTCAACCACATACACTACCTATAATTCCCACACTTCGAGATCTTAGCGCAAAGCTTTTCTCGCAAGTGTTTCTAGTCGGCACTGATATAACAACAAACAAGTTAATTCATATAAGGCACATAGGCATGCATTTGGAAGGTAACACTTATTTTCGAAAACATAACTCATGTTTACCAAAATCACACAGTACAATATCCTGTTATCAGATATATAACTTGCAACATACCCATCATATAAGCATGATTTAAGACGAATATAAATCCTAAGTCATGCGGCTACAATTCTCATTTAAATCTCGATCGCAATTCAAAGCAGGATATAGTCACGTAGGGCACATGAACATTGACGAAAAGCAAATTTTAAAATTCACAACTCAATTTGGAAACCTAAACATGAATTTGCACCAATTTCCAGCATGCGTGATAAATTTATAATGCATGTAGCCTTCAGTCTAGATATCGTTTCATGATAAAACCACTTGAAAAATATCTCTAACTCAGGTCTCTATCACTTCCATGAAGAACACTCAGGCAGATAAAATCATTGAAATGCACATAATATTGCAAACATACAAATCATAGGTGCAGTGGATAAATGAAGACATACAGTTTGACAGGTTCTCCGTGGATGCACATTAACCGAAGCTACAGACATGATATTACTGAAATTCAGAAACTCCAAGATGGCTAACTCAATTATCTCCAACGTTCATGTTTATCACTTAAGCCAAAAATAATTTTAAAACTGAGTTTTAGCATAAAACATTTAGGTCAAGAAACCTGCTAACGTAACTATTTATAAAATTGCAGTAGTTCACTAAATCAGCAATATATCATGTTATATACTCTAAATCAAACAATCTCAAAAATTAAACTAGAAAAGCTACAAGTTTCAAGAAGGGCATTTATTTTTTTTTACAAACAATCACGTTAGGGGCCTCATTTCAAAGCATACATCTCAATCGTAAATACAACCACTGTTTTAAAAATTCTGGGCATAACTCCAACTTCGAAAATATATATAAAATCAAATAAAACACCAAATTGCAAGATTTCAACTTCCAGAGAAAGCTTATAACATGTAATACAAGTTTCATGTTGATCATATTTTCACATAGTCACATTAACATTGTCAAAAACAGCCCAACATCATGATTCACAATTCTGCCCGAAATTTCAAAAACTGGTTGTAGTTTCAATTTCAAAAATTCATAACAATTTCAATTCAACTCCGAATCATGAAATTCCAAAATTCGTAGAAACCTAACTCAAGGCACTACAAAATTTATGAAGAACACCTAACCAGAAAATAGCTTGTAGGTCACGAGAACATGGAGTTTTCAATTAAATACCAACCCAAAATCATACACTCATGAACCGAGCATCATCAAGCAATATATAATCACAACGTATATCTCGAATACGCACATATAAGATATAGGGAGGTTAGTCCTAACATGATTTTTAACACAAATTTACATAAACTCATATAATCACCACATTACACGTTTAAAAGAATCCCAGTCGTGCAATAATCGTCAAGTTCAATCATATAAGCATGCTTTTCATAAATTTTAACATATCGAGTCATATTGAGCCACAACATCATGCTTAACTACAAATTCATACCTTTTCAACTGTGTGCCTCGCAGCCAACGCACAAGATATTCAAGCAATGTCGGAGAAATCCACTCATCCTATGGGCGACGTCGTCGTCTTTCATCCATGCATTAGTCTTCAAGACTTACGCTCGATCCAACGTATGAGAATTATCAACCATAATCCCTCTCGAGGCTTAGCCACTCTCAAGAGTTAAGACGGTGACACGCATTAGATTCTCCTAAACTATGGGGAATCGATTAGTAACCAATTCGCGGAATCTAAACGACACTCCCGGTCCTCGACGACTGAGGTTCTAATTTCCCGAGTGATCTCATACACTAGAGATTCACTTGGTACCTAACCTTTCTCTTTCGAGATGGGTCATGAATGGTCCTACTCCGAGGACACTAAACAAATCTTATAGCGAGAAAATGCTATAACAACACTTATCTCAATAATAAAAATACTGGAACTCACAACTAGGAACCTCTAGAGCCTGAACATAACTCTATATCACTAGAGTTCAATTTCAAACACTAGAGTTCACATAACCTGAGGTGGATAGATTTCCTAAGCCCCAAAACAACATATATATCACTTCATGAGTAGTCTCATTGCTACTCATGCAAAACCTCATAAGTAGTTTCATTGCTACTCGTAAGAAACATCACAAGTAGTTTCATTACTACTCGTGTAAAACATCACAAGTAGTTTCATTGCTACTCGTGCAAAATCACAATCCACATTATAAGTATTTTCATTGATACTTACATAAAACATACCTTAAGCAGCGCAGAGTGGTGGAGACGAGTGGTCATATTACGAGGTCTAAGCACATACTCACATATAAACCAGTCTACAGAAACGCAACCTGGCTCTGATACAAAACTGTAACACCCCACTTTGATTTTACAGAAATTCCGGATTTTCTAAAAAATCAATATAATTTTTCTTTCAAAATATTTTCGAAATTATGTGGGTGTTAACTAACATTTTTCATATCCCAAGTCTTATCTGGGCCTATGGGAATTCATTACCCGGTTTTCACAATCGGTTTTCATTAACCAACATCAACTCATGAAATAAATAAGCAAACATCAATCCCAAATCAACAAAGGTTCATAAGTTTCAAAAACCAACACACAAGGTTCGAAAAT